GGGTTTGTAGTAACCGGATCCTAACTAGGATCCTGGGCAGTGATCCTGCATATATTAGGAATATGATCTTACACAGGATCACATTCTTATGTAAGATCCTAAGTAGGAATAGGATCCTAAACAGGATTCTGTAGGATCCTAGCAAGGATTAGCATCAGGTAAGGTCCTCATTTATCTAAGAGTGTTGGCTTGATTGTCTTGATTGGCTTGATTGTCTATGGCTGCATTAGATATACAATGAGGGTATATGACTCATTGACAGAAAAAATACTACATTACACAATCATCAAACTAACAGATATCATCTCTGTTAGAAGTGCAGGACAGAACTGATTTAATCACATAAAACACAAGCTAATAAGATTGCTAGCACACCATACTAGGAAAAGAACCCAGCTGTTTTCAAGAACACGCTAATTGATTAACAATAATGTTTCACAAGACATTGATAAAAGACAAATACTTTTAAAATAATCTATAATAAATGTTATGTGAAGTTTACAAAAGAACACAACTTCACTTGGCCACAGAAACAGAGATAGGTGCCTGACCCAGTTGACATCTTGATCTTCACTGTTTGTTGATAGGTWAGAGAGGACAAGCTTGCTTCATGGAAGAAACTATCAGCACTGTCAGAAGCGTCAGCCAACCCTGATAGTATGGAGGTTAAGATGGAGAGATCCTATCATCTCAATGATGAAGATCAAACTGAGGTTGATAAGGAGGATGTTGCTCAAGGTATGTCAAAGTCAGGGGGGGAATCCAGGGGGTGTGCAACCATACTATGTATTCATMTTACTGTCTTTGCTGATTTTCATAAATGAAGATTTTCCATTTAGGATATCGCTATGGCAAGACTATTGTCCCTTTGACAAAAATAGATAAAGATAGCATGAAACTGGAGACAGAAAGGTGTTTATGTGTTCTTGGTTTTACTTCAAATGAAAATGTGAGTTTTTATCCAGCAGCAACAAAAGTCTTGTTTGTTTGGTCATCAAAAGATATGAATATGAGGACCACATGGCACTATGATAGAACAGATATAGAAATGAAAGAAAGTTATAGTGCTTAGAAGGAGGCAATTCACCCCGACCTGCTCCCAGTCTGGCCTTGTAGCTCAGCTGGTAGAGCATCGGTAGTACAAATMCGAAGGTCGAATTGAATGGGTTCGCATCCCAGCAAGGTCGACAATTAATTTTTCCAAATTTATTCCTAAGGGTCTTTCTCCSGGAATTGCCTCCTTCTTATAAGCACTATAACTTTCTTTCATTTCTATATCTGTTTGGTCATCAGCCTTCTAAGGTGCTTATGTATTCATCCAGTTTTATTTGATCTGTGTTTCAGGTTCAAAGGCATCTGTACATTGGAGAAAACATTACAGCATTTACAGCTCAACCAGATGATGCAGTAAGTTACGGGCAATGATTTTCCATTGTGTTTACCTTATAAATTATTAATGAATTGGATAATGATTCTAAGAAAACCTTTAGGCTATCACTTTCATGTAAATGTGCAGAAAAAACTTGTCAAATAAGATCAAAATGGGTCTCTTATACAAAAATTTTTTGGTTAATAAACATATTAATTGTATTGCAATATTAATGACTTGATTTGTTATTTGTTTTTTTAGCCTGGAGGAGTTGCTCTATCAGCATTCATTAATGCCATGTATGAGTCAGAAACTGTTGCAATWGTTAGATATTGCTTTCGCAAAAATGCTGCTCCCAAATTGGGATTCCTTTCGCCTCATATCAAGCAAGACTATGAGGTAATTTAATGGTGGAAAAAAAATTACGTCACTTAATTTATAAAATTTCTCCACCCTCAAGTATTGTAATTTATCGACTCCACATTCCCGAYGATTTAAATTTTGCAAATTGAGTGGTAGCAAATTGTCCACAATCATACAGTAACTTATTTTTCAAAGTTTTMATTTTAGTGTCTATTGTTCACTGCTTTACCCTTTGTGGAAGACATCAGAAACTTTAACTTTGGGTCTTTGAATGGAAACAAGAAACTAGAACCTACAGGTCAGAAGAAATTGTTACAGAAAAAAAGATAATAATAATTGTATTTTGATTTTGTGTGTGTTGATTGTTTCAGCTGAACAGCTCACTGCAATTGACCATCTTGTTGATGCCATGGATTTGACTAAAGCAGTTAGGTAAAACAAATAGAAGTAATAAAAAGCTATAGTGCTTGGAAAGGAGGATATTCCAGGACCCAACATCTTTTTTTGCCCTGGACTGCTCCCAGTCTGACATGTTAGCATAAAAATTTCCTATTAAGTAAAAAAATATAAGCTGTTTTTGACCATAAAATCGTTGTAAGCCTTTTTTGGCGTTTTAAGAAACGTTTGTCGAAAAATAAAAAATTAAAGAAGGAATGGCTCCAAATTTTCAACAATGTAGCTCAAAATCCCTTAGTTTCCAAGGAAAACATTTGTACAAGAACTGACCCCGTCAGCTCCACCTGAGCATCAATTATACAAATCTGAAGGTTCAAATCCCAGCAAGGTTGCAAATTAATTTTTCCAAAATTATTTCCAGGGTCTTTCAGCTGGAATAACCTTCTTTCCAGGCACTATACCTTTCCATTATTTCTATTTCATGTATTTCCTATTACCACATGGTTCACATATTCATATCCAGAAATTGATGATTTCATTTGTGAACATTATAAAAGCAATCAATATGTATAATATGCAGGGATGAAAACGGCGATTATCAAGAAGCAATGAAGCCCAAATGCACTTTTAACCCAACAAGACAAAGAGTTTTTCAGGTATGATATCTGACAAAGTAAAAGGCTGAGGCAGTAGGGGTAGATCCAGGTGGGTTATGGTTAGGGTAGCTAGCAAGCCCTCTTTTAGGGTTAAAAAGTACAGACTGAAATAGAATTTTATGAATAASTTTGTAACCTTCCAGATCTGCCACTGCGCAGACAATCTTCATGTCATACAATGGTCAACTTAAATACAACTTTGTATAGCAATACTATGTATTTTGCTATCATGATAATGGGAATTATTTCATGCCATTCACCAGTATTTGCACACTTTCTAGTGTATTCAACATCGTGCTTTACACCCTGAAGATACCTCATTACCAGAGCTTGAACCAGTCATCGCAAGGTATTCATGCAGAGTTTCTAACCAAACTGATTGTCAGCCAGGGTTTGATTTACAGGAACCGAATATATCATGCCATTAACATTTCTTAAATATTTTCAGCTACATTGAGCCTAATCCTGAATTTTTAGCAAGAAGCGCATCACAAGGTTTAAAGGTCAAGGTGAGAATCAAAGGTTACATAAATACCCAATCAATCAATCAATCAATCAATCCATCCGATCCATCAGTTCATTTGCAAATAAAACTACTTAGCAAAAGGCTTATGTACATGTACAGCCTGCATGTTAGACACATGTATGATATCATTTAGTAAAAAGGACATTATTTTATTGATGGACAAAATATATGTAATATTAAACCCATTTATCTAATGCAGTCTTTATTTCAAGGATTTGTTTAGGTTAGAACGAGTTGAGAAAAAGAAACCTTTGGATGCTGCTCAAAATGTTTTCAAAGCTAAGTAAGTGACTGAATTTCAATAGAGTGGTTTTAACAAAGCATTTTAGTCAAAGTGTAATACAGTGTTACCCACCAAAAAAACAAAACAAAAAAACAACAACAACAAAAACCAAGAGTAATGAAGTATGGTACGATAAGTTTATTTCAYGGTTTAATGAACAAAATCAATCAAACTACTGATGTTCATAAGTTACATTATTATAAGGCTGGGATATATACACAATAGTACACATAATTTCATTAATGAATGTAGTCTATTTTATATACTGTTTTAAAAAAGATGCTTGCTTTGTCCTAGCATTGACTCTACTGTAGAACCAGCTGCTAAAAAAGCCAAGGTAGATGAGGACGAAACTGACTTTAGCATGGCAGGACAGGCTAAAGGACAAGTAACTGAGGTATTATTGATTAACTTATATGTCATTCAAATTTTGTAATAAACAATGCTGTTTGATTACCTAAAAAAATAAWGCAATATTAATAAGAGCTTTCAGTAGACAAGCAAATTAGCCACTTGCCAGTTGTAATGTCCAACCTGTTTGAATGCACAAAAATTGCAGTAACAATGGGTAACAAAGAATCATATTATTGCGCTATATTTAATTTCATGATACTTTAGCGTGGGAATGGTAATGAAAAATCCACATGAAAGCGAGGTCTCGTGCGAAAATGTAAACAAGAAAGGTCAAACTGCTGGTGGTGTTTTCAAAAGTTCATCGTTAATGAACTAAGAAACTACTCGAAGGAAGAAGCATTCTGCTTAGTGATGGGGGAAGAGGAAGAGGAAATAGGATCTGGTTCTTCTTTGCATGTCTAAACATGCTTTTCACCTTTCGTACAGGGAAAACCCATGCCACAAGTAGCCCAGTCACTGTTCATACATGTAGTAGCCTATTATTAATAAAACCCTGTCTACACAAGCAATTYTATGTTGTAACTGTATGTGACAATTTTTATTTGCCACATACATGTAAAAATTAGCATGTTAGCTTTCCAAACAAGTACAATTGCCTCATAAAAATTAGTCAAATTTGCTTTTCTACAAGGGCAAATAAAAGTTACCACATGCAAAATTACCAAATAAAAACTACCATGGCTGCTTTCCAGTAGCTACAGTTGACACATAAAAATTGCCCAATTTTGCTTGTCCCTACGGTCAAATAAAATCAGTCACATAAAAAATTGCAACATAAAAACATTGCTTGTGTAGAGGATGACTTAAAGTMTGTGATGCCTTTAAGGTTGGTACTGTTGAGCCAGTTGAAGACTTCAAAACACTGATATCACGTAAAAATGTCAACCTTTTTAAACAAGGTGAGTTATTGTTTGCCTCCATTTTTTCCTTCATATTTTGTTCATTTTGTCAACTTGGATTCTACTTTACTTCCTGTAGTTTTGTATCTTCTATAATATTTCTTTCATTGTTTATATAGTTTCTCATGTTTCCTTCTTTTCTCATCCTCCATTTTCTGTTAATCCGTTATTTATCTCATTTGATGTTGTTTTTTTTGTTAGCTTCAAATCAAATGAAAGATCGTATTGTYCAGCTGGTAACAGATTCATTTGGTGATCAGTTTTACAATAAGGCTCTATCTTGTGTCTGTGCTTTAAGGGAAGARTCTATCAAGGTGAGAGTTTGAATCTCCTCTGTTTCAAGAATTTTACTACAGTTGAGAAGGCCTTTGTAGATATATAAGTCAGAAATTGTCAACTAAAATATACTGGAAGAATTATCAACAATGCTTGCGCAGGGGCGTATCCAGAATTTTCGTTGAGGGGGGGGGGATCCTTTCATACCTAATTATATAGCCACATATTAATCCCAAATAGGTAAAAGCTGGATTTTTCGTTAATTTTGGAATCCTGTCCAATTAAGAAATTAATTGGACAGCTTTTCAATTGGGTTTTTGTTAAAAGCTGTGGTTGGCTTTTACCTATTTGGGATCAATATGTGGCTATATAATTAATAGGTAATAAGACTCCATGCTGTCCAATTAAGAAATAATTAGACTCGAAAAATTCCTCTGACTGCCAAATTGGACTCGGCCACGGCCTCGTCCAATTTTTGGCAGTCCTCGGAATTTTCCTCGTCCAATTATTTCTTAATTGGACAGCATGGAGTCCTATTACAAATAAAAATTTTTACTTTGACGCCATTTTACCAATATGATGTCATTTCAATCTATGGTTTTTGATTTAAATCAAAACGAAACGGCCGCGAGAAGACAGACAACTACTCTACTGTAATTGCTGATATATTTCATATTTTTAGGCAGAGGAGTCACAAATGTTTAATGATTTTCTTCATGATGTAAAATCTAAATTCTATAACAAAAGAGGACATGGATTTTGGCTTCTTTTAGTAAAAGGTAAAACTGGTGGAGGGCTGACTCTCACTAATTCTATCTTACAGTCTTACAGTAGAAATTAATGCATTAATACAATCCTGGAAAGCTTGATAATCTATATAAACTGTTATAAAACCAACAGAAAAAATATCCCTTATAAGTAAAGATGAATCCTCGGACATTTCAGTAACAAAAGAAGACGCAGTCAAGGTAATTTTTCTCGATTTTATCAGTAGTGTCCTGATTWCAATTAAGCYGTWACAGTTAACTCTTGACTTACGGACAYCCCGCTATTACGAGCACCTCATATTRCGGACAGGAAATGCTGAATCCCTGACGAAAAATACAAAGAGAGTAACTAAGGGTAACTCTTATAGCGAGAGTTAACTGAACTGGTTGTTATTTCATTGTCAAGTTTCTAATCAATTGCTTAATTTTCTCAGTACTTACAGTTCAGTTACTGAAACCACATTGACAAATTAGTATCATTGACCAATCATATTGCAGCGTCGAGTTAATAGTTTAAGGGTTTTGAATAAGCCAATCACGTGCTCTAATCTATAATCTGATTGGATGTTAATGTGACAGTTCTATCACCGTTTGGATTTACTGCAATCTGATTGGTCAGGTTGGCATAATAAGTAGCTCTTGTTTCATGGAACACTAGAATGAATGAAAAGTTATAGTGCTTGGAGAGGAAGTTATTCCGGACGAAAAAGACTTAGATTCTGAAAATTTTATTTCCGATCTCGCTGGGATTCGAACCCTCGATCTTCGGATTTTTACTACCGGTCCACAACCAGTCGCAGGGGCGGATTCTGGATTATTTTTATTTTATTTTATTTTTTTTTGGGGGGGGGGAGGGGGAGGCACTAAAATGGCGCGAACTTTTGGCGGGAAATTTGCATGACGGATTAGTTTGGAGAACGTATCAAATAGAAATTTTTCCACTGAAATTAGTGAATTAATAGGAAATTAACTAATTCACTTGTTATTTTTCATTTTAGAAGGTTTATTTGTTAAAAAAAACATGTACGAGAATTTTTCCCAAACAGGGGGAGGGGGGGGGGAGGACAACCCCAGACCCCTTCCCTAAATCCGCCACTGAGTCGAGCTAAAAATTCAGGCTGTGAGCAGACCAGGGTGAAATAGATGTTACAGTTCGCGGCAATTAAAATGCAATTATATGGCGATGTTGAAATTCGGATTTTTCCGAATTTATTTCCAAGGGTCTTTCTCCCGGAATAAACTCCTTCTATAAGCACTATAACTTCACATTATTTCTAGTTGATGTATTTCTTAGTGCCATGCGGTCTACATACTCGTATATCTCCAGTTTCCGTTTAGAAGATAATGTGTTGCATTGTTTTCTCAACCAATCACGAGATTCGTTCGTATCGGTTCTCAGTGATATACAATTTCTTGTCATATAGTTTTTAGCAGAGACTGAAGGAAAGGAAGAGGTGGAAGAAGCTCCAGCAGAAGAAATGGAAGATGTTGATGATCTGGTAGGTTTCAATCACACATTTCTTGTAGAAAACAAACACATCACTAAGAGGAAGTTTATGACATAACAGGGCATTCATCAAAGTTATATCGCTGTAATCGTTTCCACAGTTTGCCTTACACTAGTTTGCAAACAGATTTTTTTGGTAAGAGAAAAACAACTTCTCTGCCTGCGAATTATTCCATTGAACATGCCTGGAAGTTATGTAAAAGGTAATGACAGGCACTGGAAACATATATTACTAGAGCATTGAATTTGAATTGCGATATGTAATTGTTGAGAATGGTGTTCTGATTCTTGCAAAAAAGCCAATACCCAGATACCCATGGATTATTCCCGTTGGCATTTTTACCTCATTGTTTATTATTCAAATATTTTCTGTTCTTTTTTCTAGCTTGCAATGATGGATTAAGAGCACGTTTTATGAAAATGATGAAAATATTACAAGTTCAGTGTACAAGAAAATAGAAATAGCTTGTCTAAATTTACACTAAAAGATTAATATCAATAAAGCTCAAACTATATTGTACTTGCAATGAATGTTTTTTTTCATGATCATTTTAAAAGTGCCTCTTCTGAGATTTTTATTTCAAAACCGTACGCAATTCGTGGTGAAATACTCCAGTTCCTCTTTTTGGGGAGTAGCGCGATGCTCCGTACTCGGCCGAAATGATTCCTGTTACAAATGACAGTGTTCCGAAATAAGAATTGTTGCTCTTTGCCGATTGACCGGGAAATTAAATCTGACAAAAACAGCGTCGTGTGGAACAAGATCTTGGAGCCTCTTGGGGTCTTCTAAAATAATTCTGCAATGTAGCAGCGAAGACATGGAGAGATATTGTTTTACAATTTTTGACAATATCTTTCTCCGGGATCTTTGCTCTTTTAATATCTGGGTTTCCTGTGGTATCCTAGGGTTGACTTCTCCCACAATGCATTGGTGCAAAGCGCGGGAGATTTATCGGTATTTTGAGTCTTGTGTTATACCCGCTTCTTTATATTCCCAAAATGACAGAAAATTTCAACGAAAATTCGAGAAAACTGTCTGAAGTCCTGACAGACCTTTTGTCTATTGATTGTGATGAGAACATTTGTTCTTCAGCTGTATTTGAACCAGCAATTCACACAGAAGACCACAGCCAAGATGACAACTTTCTGGATGCCTATCAAATAACGTTCATTCCGGCTAATACTAAACACCCTCTCTGTCACATCACTAAATGCTCTGACAAAGGGTTCTTCTTGTTAGGAAAAGCTGTAGTGGATACTGTTGAAAACGAGGACGGTGACGAAGAGCTTCAAGTTTCGGTTGTCGAACTTTCAAGGCAAAAAAGTGAACGTGTTTTGGTTGGTACACCACTGTCGCAGGATGTTGCYTTCATCAACGGTTCTTCGCCGCTACATCAAGGCAGCAAGTCCTCAGCTACAAACCGTTTGACGTCAAGAAGTCAAAACTGCATAGATGAATGGCGTCTTGATAATTTTCTTGGCATACATCCAGTGCAAATTGATAAAGCAAGATATTTGATATCATTATTTGACCACTSCCTTACTAGCAATATGTCAAACGTCCAAGTGCCATTTTGGGTAGTGGTTGATGAGAATAACACTGGAACTGTCACTCATATGGCGAGCCTACCAGTGGGTGTCCAGCCAGACAGGATTGTCAATCATGTTGTCATAACATGTAATGGTCCATACCCCAAGACAGAAGCACTGCCAAACATCAATACTATACAAAGACTTCACAATCAGAAATGTCTTGGCACTGTTGTAGAAAATAGTAGTTATGGYTATGCTTTGTATGATCTACTTGGGGTTTCTCATGCTGTCGAGGAAGAGGACCAGAAGAGTTGCGCTTGTGTTGAATTTGCCTGGAAGGATATACATAGTCTGGTGCAACCTCCTCCACTCACATCAGACTGTGTTCTACACATCAAGTGTTTGCCTGGCAGTATGCAGCTGACAGACTTCTCTTTAACCAGTGAGGTGAATAAGCTAATGTGTTTCCATGCAATGATTCTTGACTCAGATCAACAATGGCCAGACCCAGCATCACAGGAAATGCAGGAGGTACAATTGAGGATAATGAAAGTCTTAGAAAATATTGATTCTGAAGCCTTCTCCCAAGTCATTCATGATAATGATGATCAGTCAAGAGTCAGCACTTCATCATCTCCAGCAGAACATCTTTCCAATCAAGAATTTGCACCAAGGAAAGATCTTGATTTCACAGAGAAYTTGTGGTTGATTCTCAAAGATGCCCTGMATTTTGATGATCTKGCTGCTTGTTTGAAAATTGCAATGAATGCACTTCTGAGTGGTGCCTGTCAGATTGTGATCCATCCATCRAACAAGACSCATCTTGCAATGTTCATTCGGCAGCTTTTACAGTGTGAAACAAATGAACAGAGACATCAATTGAAACTGAAAGTTGAAAAGATGTTTGATTATGAAGTTGCTTTAAAGTGTCTTGTTGGAATAGGTTGTGAGAAACTACTGCGTGATCACACTAATTATTTCCTATGTGAGGAACTAGTCACCCAAGATCAACTGAAATACTTCATGGATGGTAACATACCATTGTCCCAAAAAGTTGAAAGAGTGGCTAAGTTGCAGAATGTCCTGGATTTAGTCATCACAACCAAGTGTATTCTAAAYACTGGTCATGCTAACCTCCAGCTACTTACACAGTCAGCATTGATATACTATGAAAGCCATAGTCATCATGATCATCCTGTGTTTTCACTGCCCCTTCCAGCTTATTCTTCAACATCTATATCAGCTGTTAAGTCAATCATCTCCAATGAGCAGCCATCAGTGTGGTGTTTAGCACTCAARTCAAAGACCAAGAAAGACACTGCAACAACTATTGTTCAGCTGAGCACTGAATCACCCATCAACACCATGACRAACTATCTCAATAATGAAACAAAGGACGAYCTAACAATGTCTTTGACAAGTAAAGCACCTTACTATTTATCCTTTGCCAGGCAGACCACAGTTCCACTTATTACTTCACAGTGATTGATAACATTGCAATGCACAATATATATACTACTGTATGCCGTATTATAATTCAAGGACAAAATTTTCTCTGCTCTCATTGGTCAAGAATTGATAATGTGAAATAATAGTGCCTGCTGTAGAGGCACTATCACTAGAATAGAGCTTGCAGTTTCATTAAATATTTTAGTTTTTGATAATAAAAACAATAGAGCTGTTTAAATCT